CCATCTTAGGGGCAGGTAAAAATACTGCAAAGGAAAGAGAAAAACTGTCACTGAAAGTGCTACCTCTTGTCCTGTTTGTTCAGTCTGTTTTGAACTTGTGACTATTCTGCTGTTGTCATGCAAAATCATCACAGATTTGTCACATAACTCTCTTGAAAGGAGTGAGAAATACTACCGAGAAATCGAGAAAAGTTTTGATTGCACATGTTACCCTGCAGTCTCCTGATAAGCTTGTGCCAGTCTGTGTAGAAGCCAGTTCCACTTGTTGTTCTGAAAAAACATATTGACAAAATGCAAACTCGGTATGTAATGGCTTAGTAACATCATGTAGAGATGCTGTTACCTCCTGTGCCTACAGACCAAAGGGACTTGTTAGGAAAGTTCATCTTCCGTTCTAGGAATCTAAGACTCCAATTGCTTCTTTTTTTCCATTCCTACCATAAAAGAACCCACAAAACCAAAAAACCAGAATGAGATCTGTGTCCTTGTTCTAGATGTCAAAATGGGTTCCTAATACCATTATGTGCTTTGGTGGCTAAAAGTTTCCTGACATGGGGGTGCTTGAACTGTCCTGGCTTTAGGGAACAGGTGCTCAGGGGCAGATGAATCAGTTCATCTCACTGAGTTTGTGGGAGCTCATTTGAGGGCTGCAAGTGCCCCTCGGAGCTTTGCAGCCCCCTCCCTGCTCCCTGGGGGCTCAGCTACCTGTGTGCAGGGCTGGCTCTGGTCTGACCTGCTCGTGTAGCCTGGGATGGGGCTGTACTGGAGGGAGCAGAGTGACAGGGAGGTGTGAGGAGCCTCCTGGGCAGCCTCTCTCCCTTCACTTGGGAGCCCTGTTCAAACCTGGGCCTTAGCCTGATAGGCACCATCAGTGTGCCTGTGCCTGGCTTTGATCTTTGCTGATCCTGACCCACTGACTTTCCAGCCTCAGCTCCGACCTACTCATCTCCACAGATTTGCCTGGAAACTTGGACTCTTGGTTGATCCCGTTTTGCTGTCACTGGCCCTGCTCTACATGTGTGTTTGGGCACCGTGGGAGCGTGTCCTTGGCGAGGTCACTGCCCTGCCTGCTGCCTTGTTGTGTCCAGCTCTGAGGTCACCTGCCCTTCCTGCTCCCTGACACTGTAAATCTGCTCACCTGTGAGCCTGCACTTATGTGGTGTTTTTTTTATGACAGATGTCATATTTGCTTTCACAACTGTGAAGTCTGAATTGGGTTTTGTACTTGGGGGTTTTTTTGTGTGTAGTCAACAATAAATGCAGATGTAAAAAGCAATCTTCTTTGTTACATCTTCACAGATCTGATTTAAAAAAAAGCTGCCAAAATTACTAACTGCTAATTAGCTTGGGGAGGTGATCCATATTATTGCTTTCTTTTCTGTGGTCTAGATATCTCTACCAGGTAGGTAGAAACTTACCTGGTCTCTATGCTGCTAAAAGCAATGTATTTGCCTCCTCAGGATGTTTATGGATCCAGATGCTAATTTAAATTTATATCCAGTCCAGATGTCCCCCTCTTGCAGGCTAGTTGGATGACTAATTCTTAATAGCCTAAGAACTAAAAACTACTCTTTCTTATTAATCAGTACACTTTATTTTATAATTGTTGTCAATAGCATTATTCTTTTTATTCAGCTTTATAAGACTATTGCTTTTCCTGCCACTGAGTGTATTACAAGGGAATACTTACAAAAAGAATTACAAATGTTTCTTCACAAGAAAGGATATGCCTATACTCCTGTTGCAATAGACTACAATTGTTTTGTATTCATTTCTCATAAAGATTGCATTAATATCATTAAAGTTGCTGGTGAATCTTGTTCCAAACCTCTTAGGTAATTAATTATAGTCCTCTAAGCAAATTGTGCTCCAGACATGTGATGGTACTATTTGCAGCCCAGCTAGTGAGAATGCAGGTCATTTCCCTTTCATGGCTCTAGAGCTGAACCAGTCTGCCCAAGGAGATTTTCAATCAAGGCTGAATTTGTTTATTTGTACTAATGCACCAAAATGAATGCTGCACTTCAGTAACCTTAGAACAGGAAACCTAAGAAAAGACAGGTCCATTTAATAAAGATGCTATTACCAGAGAAACTCAGCATGACTCGGAATAACCTTGGAGCAGAAACATGCTCGAATGGTGCTAGTGAGAGCACACATTCTCTTCCTCCTTTAAAATCCAGCCTGTTTTGATAAAAGAGGAGTTTGAATTTGAGTTTTTCTCAATGTTTTTCAGCTATATAAAAGTGGGCGGGAACTCCTAACCTGATACTGTTTTGAAAGAAAAGTGTTTGCAGTCTGATGATTCACCTTCTAGTTTTAAGCCAGAGTATCAAATTCGGGGTGCTGGTTTTGTCTCAATACATCCAACAGTTTCTTTGCTTCTGCTTAGTAGTTCTTAAGCAGTGCTATCTGTAACATTGTTTTAAAGCCTCCTAGAGAGATAGAGACTGTCACATTAGGTTAATAACTCTTAGAATAAGCAGAAAATCTAGATGATAAGCATCTGTTAAGCTCTTTCTTAAAACCCTTTAAAAGTGCATTTGTTGGAATTTTCAAGAATATTTATTACAAGCCTAACTCGGACTTAATTCAATGGAAGTTACACTTCTAAGCCACTAAAATACTCACTAGGGTTTTCAGATGCAGCCAACTACATCTTTAGGCACCTAAACCCATTGGAAAGGGAGTTTTATCCAGCATTTTCAGGGAAAACAAAGTCATGTGCCCTAACAATCTCTTCTACAGAACGAGATGTTGAGATGAAAAAGGCATTGATTTTGTTTTGTTGCCAAGTACAAAATAGCAAAGGTCAAAAATAATGCTCAGGGACAGAGGGTGTGAGGTCACACAAATGAAAGTTTGGAAACGGGAAGGTTTTTCTTCTACATATGTGTGTTAGGGTTCAGGGGTAAGTGAAACTGTACAAGACAGTGGATCTCTCAAGTGCTGGTTTGATATTTCATATACCAGTATCAGGGAAGAAAGTTTTTTTAGATTGAATGACTAGTAAAAGTCATTCTAATTCCCAAAAGAATGCACAGGAACTCAAACTTGAAACACAATTGTTAGTGGAGAGTGGCCTTCTATGATCTCGTAATCATCGCAGTTTGGTCTACTTATTCCAGGATAACGTGATAGAAGACAACACCCAATCTGAAGAACTGGGAAATTTAAACAAAAATATCAAAGCCTGTATTTTAAAGTAGGTCCAGGAAATGCAAATATTTCAATAATATTTGAGTTGCGGTTCTGGCTGAGTCTTAAAATATTTGTGACGTTGTATCAATTGCAGGTTTTAAAAGCTATAAAAATGCATTTAAATCATACTTGGCTGGTTCGTTATGGTATGTGTAAGAGGAGAAACTGCAGTAGTGTTATAATTTCAAATACAAATCAGGAATTGTAGAACAGATAAGAATCAAAGATTTGGGGGCCAGGAAAGCTGACAGTGCAAAAACAAGTAATTGCCTAGTATCTGTACTGCTTTCGAAACCAGAGAGACAACTGCAGCTGTGCTGTGTTCTTACAATTGGCAGAGGATAGGTCTGTAAGCCAGGACTGCATGGAGCTTCCCAGCAGCCTGTGCCTAAACCAATGCAGACCCCTCCCCTCCCTTCCCTTCTCCTCTCCTCCCCTACCCCATGCTGTCTCCCACAGGACAGGCATGGAAATGAGGGTACACTCCATGCATTAGTCAGTATGTTGAGTACAGTTCATACATTCGAAAGGCTGCTGTTTGGATTGATGGAACAGCTGTTAGGAGCTGAGATGCCATCATAAACCCACCTAGGAATCTGTGACTCAAGAGGGAAGAATGAAGGTAAAATCTGGAACCCAGAGCAGAACATGAGGAAGAAAATAGAAATACCAGAAACAGTAAGATACTGATGCCATATTATAAAATGTTTCAGCAATTTAGCATTCCTGGTGCTCTGCTGACTGTGGCCCATGGGGATTGGATTCTGTCTAATATCAATTAGTCAAGTATCTGTGTGGTGTCCAGGCAGTGCAGCAGCAGAGTGCAAATGAAATGGTGGAAAGCGTTTACCATTTCAGCTTCATCCTCCAGGGTCACCTCCTCTGCCTCAGCAGCTGAATGAAGCCATCTGGAGGAAGAGCCTCTGTGCAGGTTCAGTCAGAGAGCACTCCCAGATCCTGCTCCAGATTCAATCCAGGCTTCCTGCTGGCAGGCAGAGGATGGAGCTATGCTATCTGGGGTACACAATATGCCCTAGAATCTGGAATAAGAGTTAGATGAGTTCTCTCATCCTTGTTGGGAGGCTGTTGGCTCATAAGGAAAGATAACTGGTTTATCTGTTTTGGAAGGAGTCAAGTTTCTTTCACCAGATTTGCATCTGTTGGAGTGTGCTACTTATCTCTAGTGACCTTGCTACAGATGTTCTTTTTGTTTTTTATTTAGGGAATGTACAGCAGCTGTTTCTGTCCCCTGTCATTGGCCTTGCCGTCTCCCATGCTTTGCAGTATGTAGTTAGACATAACAATTACAAAACAAACACAAGAGGCAACTCAGAGTAGCTAATTTAAGTCAAATGCAGTGAATGAAAAAAACAGTAATTATTAGGGGAAGAGGAGGAAGAACAGAATTATGCTGCTATATTATGTATTTTTTGGCTCCCTGAGTGTGTGCATTCTATGTCACTTACTCTTTTTAAGACCTTTCTTAACCCTCATTTGCTGCTGTCCGTGTATGTGTCGCTGAGGAGAAGCTTTTGACTGAGCTGGCTCTGTGGAAATTCTAAATTAGTTTGACGTTTCCATGGAAAGAGGGAGGGAATCAGAGACTGTGACTGTCACAGGGAGACAGGCAGTGCCATGCAGTGGGAGAGAGGCTATGGAGGTGGGTAGTCAGATTGTCATCATTGCTAGTCTTCAAAGAAAGACCTTGGTGGACATGTGTAATCCTCAATACTAATTATGAGAAATTTGGCAAGGAGGGTAGGAAGGACTCAGCTGAAGGATCTGAATAGGGAATTGAATGAACAAAAGCAATAGAGATGATCTTTATTGCATAGCTTTGCATGCCACACTTTGAGTCCTATGAACAGGCTCAGATATTATCACTGCAATGATATTTCAAGATAGTAACAGCTGGAAGCAGAGACTTTAGAATAGGTAAAAGACACATGGTTTTGGCAAACTTAAACTGAAAGTATCTGAAAAGGTATCTGTAAAACTACGTAAAATGAAGAAAGAAATAAGATTAATGTCTGGAAGAATAGAAACAAAACAGGTAACAGCACAAAGATGACAGGGAAGAATAACTATTTTTGGGATAGGACTGGAAAAAATGGAGGAATAAGAAGGAACAGCATACTAGCGTGTTAAAATAGAAATCATAGGGGAGGTTTCCATGAAATCAGGGTGGGAGAGAGGAGAATTTAAGTCTGCCAATAGATCTAGGAGGTACAGAGACTTGCTACAAGACATTGCCATTGTCATTTGTCTGGTAATCTGATCAGCATCGTTCTGAGTACAAGTGATGTTTTCTGCCTCTGCTTTCTCTAGCACTTAGACATTTAAAAAGTCATTTTAATGCTACAATCATCCATCGTTGATGAAATCTGGTATCTTTGTTCACAGTGCCATATGCAACAGATATCTTCATCACGGGGCTTGCTTCATCATGCTACTGGTTTTGTCCTTTCTTTTTAGTAATTCTTGTTCTTCTCTGCTTTCTAACATGAAGTTTTCTTCTGTGAATCTTGTGCTTCATCTTCTTCATCCATTTTTTAACTTTTTTAATCCGTGGACTCACACAGAACTTTTTGCCTTCTATATAGAGACTGACAGAGAAAAAACTAGTTGTCAGTTTCAAAGAAAAGATGTAAAACCTCCAACTTTTTAAAATTATCATACTTAGCACTCACCTATGAAGTTAGACTTGATTAATTGTAAATTATATTTTATACTGTGTTTATTAACTTTTTTTTTTAGTTTCAAATAAGTCAAAGTCAGGATCTGAGTTTTACATGATTAAACCTGTCTTCCAAAATCTGAAAAAAAGCTTTACTACTTCAGTGCAAAAAGAACCACAGTGCAAAGCAGTACATTTCTATTGCAAATAAATAAGTAGACCACTCTATAATTATTATTATTGTCATTACTACCATGCAAAAGTCTAGCAAATGTACCAATTTAACCCAAACAGTGTGATATTGTACCAGCTATAAAATTATAAATAGCTTATGTACAAAAGTAAAGCTTATTTAATGAGTTTAGGCAATGTTTTTTAGAGGATTAATAGTTGGAAAAAACAGAGAAGTCTTAAGGTACATGAGTAATTTTTTAGTTCTGAAAATAAAGTGAGAGTCTACGTGCAGGCTGAATAATGATCAATATTATACTGAAAAGGAAATTCAGTTCTACCAAAAAATTTAAATAGCACAAGGAAAGACAGTTCTTAAATCACAAACAATGGTGTTTTCATTGAATTTGTATTAGTTTTCCAAGATTACACTTATTTCAATGGTGCCTAGCAGGTTTTAACTCCCTTTCCCAGAAAAGGACTCAAAATATTTCTTACATAACAGCTTCTAGGTGACACAGGCCATCAGCTTTCTGGATTTCAAACCTCTCCACTCTTCGGAGAATTCCTTTGGGAATTTCTTCTGTAATCTTTGTGCAGCAGTTAAAGGCCCCAGGAAACAAAGCTAAAAAGTGTAGTAACGATGTTAGAAAGAACAGAGATATGAAGGGGACAAGTCATAGTTTGACTGCACAGAATCACATAGGGGTTGAGATCGGAAGGGACCTCTGTAAGTCATCGGGTCCAGACCCCTGCTCAAGCAGGGCCACCTGGTCCCTGGGTCCTGCTTAAGCTCTGCTCCCAGCCCCTGATAATGTAGTTGGCATAATTAACACCATTTTATGAGGTAAGCAGCCATTCTGTGACCAAGCAAGTCATATGTTCATGCCCCTTCCTTCATTGTCAGAATGAGGATCTTCCCCAAAGATCCTATGAACCAAGCAGACAAACCAAGCAGATTTCCACTTCCCTTCCCTACTGCCCCCCAGCATGTACTGCTGCCTGCTATCATTCCTCTCCAGATGAAGGACTTTGTGTTTCCTCTTGTTAACTTAATGAGATTCCTCTCTGCCCATTTCTACGTCAGTAAAACCATGTGGTGCATCAGCTACTGCTCCCAGTATTTTATCTTGTGCAAAATATGCCACAGGCACATTCTCTTCCATCATCCAGGTCATTAATTAAGATGTTGAACAGTATTGGTCCCTGGGGTTTGTGCCACTGATCACAACCCTCTGGACCTGATCCTTTCTCCATTTTTCAGTCTGCCTCACTATTCAGTCATCTATCCTATACTTTGTCAGCTTGTCTATGATGATATAACAGGAAACAGCATCAAAGCCTTTACCGAAGTCAAGGTACACAACATCACTGCTCTCCTCTTGACCAACAAGCCGGTCAACTCATTGGAGAAAGTCGCTAGGTCAGTAAAATGTAATCTCCCCTTCATATATCCATGCTGACTACTCCTGATCACTGTTTTGTCCTTCAGGTCTTTCAGAATGCTTTCTTGGAGGATTTTCTTCATTGCCTTCCCAGGGACTGAGATGAGGTTGGCCTATTTGTCCTGTGGCCTTATGTAGGTCTGGGTTTTAAAAGTGCTCCCTAATTTGGTCTTCCTCCACTGATAGTATGTCATCCTTGTTCTAGACTTTCCCTCTCAGGGACCTGAGATTCTTAAAGGCCAGTCTGAATCGTAAAGAGTAAGGCAAAAAAAGTGTTGAGTCCCTCAGCCTTATCCATGTAATTTGTCACCAGTTACTCGGTCCTGTTTAGCAGTGGGTTCACATATTTGCTCCTCTTTCTTTTGCTATTTATCTACTTGTGGAATACTTTATTACACATCACGTCCCTTGATAGATTCAGCTCCAGGTCAGTTTTGTCTTTGTCTTTCATAACCCCATTCCTGCATGATTAGACAACAACTATATGACTCCACCTGGCTCACCTGCCCCTGCCTCCACCCCTTTTTTCCTTACTTTGTTTTTATGTTCAAGTTTAGTTAGAAGCTCTGAGCATATCCATGCAGGCCTCCTGACACACTGCTTGGTTTTTTGTTTGTCAGGACAGATCTTTCTAGAGCTTGGAGGAGGTGGCCCTTGAACATCCACCTACTCTGCTCAACTCTCTCCTATCTAGGACTATATTCCATGGAATTCTTCCAAACAGGTCTCTGAAGAGACTGTAAATCTGCTCTCATTAAATCCAGGGCTGTGATATTCCTTTTTTGCCCTTCTCCCTTCTCCTAGGATCCCAAACTCCACCATCTTATGGACTCTGTAGCCAATGCTGCCTCTGATTTCATGTGCCTGACCAGGTTTGCCTTGTTTGCAAGTATCTGGTCCAGCTGAGCGTTTTTCCTTGCTAGTTCCTTGATTACTTGTGGTGGAAGATGTCATCAATGCACTTGAAAAAGCTTGTGGATTGCTTGAGCAATTGCTTTAGCTGTATTGCCCTTCCAGCAGATATCAGGGTGGTTAAAGTGCTCCATGAAGATGAGGGCCTGTGAACCTGAAGATTTTTCCAGCTGTTTAAGGAAGGCCTCAGCTACATCTTCCTGGTGAGGAGGTCTTGTCAGAGACTGAAATGGTTAATGATTTATGCATTCCAGGAGTTTGCAGGCTTTTGACTTTTGCATTATACCTCTGATGGGCAGTTGGGCCTGCCCCGAGACATGGCCCGTGACACTGACCATGGATATAATAACTCATAACTTCTTGGCGTGTGGGGGCTTCCCTCCTTCACCCCCAGCAGATCAAGGCCACCACTTCAACCGACAGACATGGAAGCGGCAACTACCAAGTGTCATTGCTGGACCCCGTGGGCGGTGACTATATCTGTTTCTTTTGCACTCTCAGCTTTTCTTTTTCCTTACTCTCCCTTACTCTTATCCTGTTTTTTCTCTCCCCTATGCATTTTCTCCCCCCTCCCAAAGGTTATCTCTATGGCGCATTGTTATATGACAACACCCAAAATGCTAGCATACCTGTTGATACAAGATTGTTAAAATAAACCTTACCAATATATGTTTTCAGACACTGATTATTTAGTGTCGTTTCACTCTAATCCACCCCAAGGGAATTATTGATAAAAACCTGAGTTACCCCCCTCCCCTTTTCCTCAGGCGGGTCGTAACAGGTCTATAGCAGGCACTTGCTACCACGTCACTCATGTTGGTCTGCTCACTAATCCTGACCTGTGACCTCTCTGTTGGCTCATCATCCATTCCCAGGCAGAGCTCCATGCACTCCTGCTGCTCTCTTGCGTAAAGGCCAGCTTCCTCTCCTTGTCTTCCAGCCTGCTCTTCCTGAAAGCCTGTATTCCTCAGCTGCAGCACAGCAGTCATGTGAGTCACCCCACCACTCACCCCAGTGAACTACCAGCCCTGTACTGCAGACAGACTTCAGACTCCTGTTTGCTCCCCATGCTGTTAGTTGAAGGGCATTTCAAAGTGGTGTCAAGGGTTAATTATCTTTACAGCTTATGGGATACCATCCTCTCAGCTTCTCCCACAAGAGAGATTGGTGATTTTGTTGTTTCAAGAACAATTTATTTTACCTCTCCTTGTGCACACATATGTAAAGGCTTATTACAGTAAAATAAAAATAATTTTAAAATATTTAGAATCATAGAATCAACCAGGTTGGAAAAGACCTCCGAGATCATCAAGTCCAACCCTTGATCCAACACCACTGTGGTTACTAGACCATGGCACTAAGTGCCACATCCAGTCTCATCTTAAAAAACTCCAGGGATGGTGAATCCACCACCTCCCTGGGCAGCACATTCCAATGCCTGATTACCCTCTCTGTAAAAAATTTCTTCCTAATAGCCAACCTACCTAAACTTCCCCTGGCAGAGCTTAAGACCATGCCCTCTTGTCCTACTGCTGGTTGCGTGGGAGAAGAGACCAACCCCCACCTGGCTACAACCTCCTTTCAGGGAGTTGTAGAGAGTGATGAGGTCTCCCCTGAGCCTCCTCTTCTCCAGGCTAAACAACCCCAGCTCCCTCAGCCTCTCCTCACAGGACTTGTGCTCGAGTCCCTTCACCAGCCTTGTTGCTCTTCTCTGGACCTGCTCCAGCCCCTCAATATCCTTCCTGAACTGAGGGGCCCAGAACTGGACACAGTACTCCAGGTGTGGCCTCACCAACACTGAGGACAGGGGAAGAATCACTTCCCTGGTCCTGCTGGCCACACTGTTCCTGATCCAGGCCAGGATGCCATTGGCCTTCTTGGCCACCTGGGCACACTGCTGGCTCATGTTCCGCTTCCTGTCAAAATTATTTTTATTTTTTGGAAGAAGATCACCAACATTAATGACAGAGAAAGTGTCAGGAGTATAATTTAAAAGATCTGCCTTGTGAGGTAGAATCAGGGTCATTACCTTGTTATCTTTTAGAAATTATTAATGCTGTTGCTGGGATTTGTGGGTTTTTTTGCCTCAAGGGCTCCCATGCCTGAATGTGTCTCCACTAGGGAATAATCTCCTGCCAAATTTTTTTCTGGTTGCTAATACCATCTTGAAAATAAAAAGTCACTGAACTTTAAAAAGCAGATTGTAATTCAAGGTAGTTTGTGGGGTTTTTGGTGGGTTTTTTAAAGACAAATACTAACATCTTGGTATTTGATTTTCTCTGTGCTGGCCCAGAAAGGAATTTCCTCCATCAACACACGGACAAACAAAGCTATATATATATTGCTTAGGGATCTACCCAGGATGAAGGTCTCAAGATTAAATTTGTGCTTCAAAGTGAGCACAGCAAGGACTCCTGTGTCCCAGACCATGAACTAATCTGGGAGAAGTGGTGAAAGTGTTCTTCCTATTTGTTTGAATTTTTTTCCTAGCCACGTTGTCGCCTAAGTAATCATTTAGCTTTGAGCACAAGACTCACAGCAATAGAAAAAAAGACAGAGAATGAATTTCAGTTCCTGTAAGTAGGAGATAAGAAGTCTGTTCAAAAATTTTCCTGTATGCAAGAAGACTGTGTTCTCTGGTCCTGACAAGAGTGCTTGCTCAGTGCTGGAATAACAGATGCTAGCACACCTAAAGAAGTGAGTTTGAGCAGCAGGTGGGGGAGCAGGAGTTGCTGGAGAGCAGTCACACTGTCCACTGCAGCTTGCGGGGGGGCTTTTGTACCTGTGGGGCTGATGACAGACTCCTGGGATTTCACAGTCAGAAGGGAGGGTGAAAGACAGCAGCTGGCCTAGCATTTGTCTCCTCAACAACCAGGAGAGAAGGACTATAAATAATCACGTGGTGCAGAAGAACTAATTAAGTGTTGAGCATTACCTGTGTAATCTCCCTGTTGTCCTTTGCTTTTCTCTCTTCAACGCCATACTTCTTGTGAAGCCAATTAATTGATGTTCACAAATGGATTCAGCTCATCGAACACCACTAAGTGTAAGTTTTTTTCTGAGGCCTCAAAGCAGTGTTGGTAGCACTAAAGGATAAACTTTTGTTGTTGCCAGTCAGCTCCTCACAGAAGGATTATGCCAGATGAAAACTCAAGGAAGAGTAATTATATCTTGAACTCTATCTGAGGTTGCCTGCTGTGCTTTTTGGAGAAATCTATTCCTGTTCTTTTTTGGGGTCGAGTAAACTAAAATACCTGGCAAGGCCAGC